GAATATTATTGACATTTTAAAATCTATTCCATATAATTGATATAATTGTTCAACTAAATTAGATGGAAAATCTGCATGTATTTGAGAAAGATCAAAGTCCTGCAACTAAAAACCCACTCAAATGAAAAGTAGGGAAGAAGAAGAGTTTTTCTGACTGCAAAACCAATGCATTTTGTAGAAGAAAATCTTGAGGTTATATAATCACCTGCCAACACTGTAAATGCCTACTAATGAAGTCATGCAGTAACATTTCATTTTGCTCCCAGAGGGGAAAAAAGCAGAGGAATCTTTTAATTGGAAATGACTTAGCTTGCTAGAGCTATCACAGTCACACATATTAGCTCAACTGCCTTGTCCCAGTGCAATAGATTGAGACAAATGCAAATCACAGCATGTCAATATGGAAAAGTTTGCCTAAAATGATGTTTCTTGCTTTAAAAAGAACACATAAAAATACAGATGTTTACTATTCTTTAGAGTAGTCTTTTAGAGTATGGAGATAACTACTATATTCCTTAGGACATTTTGACAGAAGGGGTACTTCAGAAGCAGAAAACAAATCAAAACTCCTATTTTTCAAGTGTCTAATTTTGCAGTTTTACTCCATATACAGAGTCTTTGTATCAAATTTCCAAAGGGATTTTTTTTCATAAAGGGAAAACCCATAAAATTCTGGTGTACAAATGTAACAAACTTCCAAACTAAGAGTTATTCTTAGGATTTAAAGTTCAGTGTTTCTGTACAGCTGGAACTGTGAGACTGACTATACCAACAGGAAGAATGAAAGGCCTGTTGGTACCCTGGAAGGCGGGCCTTTAAGTGTTTTGCTGAAGCTCAGGTCTCTGGCTTGTCTTAGGAAAGCAAAGGATTTTACTCCAAGCTATAATCTCAAGGAAAATTTGATAAGGAAACTTTATGGCCTTCTCTGTCCACTCTTCCTCACATAACTGGCTCCAATTGCCCCAGTCTGTAAAATGACACACATTTAGTTACCTTTCTAAAGCATTAACAACTTTTCTTTCCAGTAAAAGAAAGACATAAGCATCAATTTGTAAGAAAATATGCTGCTCAAGAAAACATTACAATTTAAGAAGGAGATCCATCCAAATCAAAGTAGACACAGAACAAAACTGCAGAAAACTATACAAACCCTCCATAGAAAGCAAACATCAGTCTTTTGAAGAAGCTGTTTTACAATAGTGGCAAAAAAGGAAAAACAAACTATTCACTCTGATAGAGCCCTGCATAGAATTGAACATATTTTTGGAGACCTGGAAAAAAGACTGTAGTGGAACTGATGATGGCTAGATGCCAGGCACCCATCCAAAGCTGTTTTCTCAGTTCCCTCCACAAATAGACAGGGGAGACAAAATATAATGAAGTGTTCATGAGTTAAGGAACAGGAGACATCACTCAGCAAATACTGTCATGGGCAAAATGAACTCAAATTGGGGATATTAACAGAATTCATTACTAACAAAATCAGAACAGGACAGTGAGAAGTAAAATAAAGCTTAAAAAGAACTTCCCTGTACCTCTTCCTCCTTCCCAGCTCTACCTCCTCCCCCAGTGGTGCAGGGAGACAAGGAATGGGGGATATGGTCAGTCCATCACCAGCAGTTTCTCTCACTGCTCAGGAGAGGAGTCCTCTGCCTGATGCATCGTAGGGTCCCTCCAAGGGGAGAGAGTTCCCCATGAACTTCTCCAGTCTGAGTCCATCCCACAGGCAACAGATCCCCTCAAACTGCTGCCATGTGGGTCACTCTTCCTCAGGGTGCAGTCCTTCAAGGACAGGCTGCTCCAGTCTGGGCTCCCATGAGGGCCTCAAGTCCTACCAGGAAACCTGCTCCAGAGTGGACTTCTCTCTCCATGGGTCTGCAGGTCCCTGCCAGGCCAGCACAGGCTTTCCAGGGTTTCACAGACCTCTTTCAGGCAGCTACCTGCTCTGGTTAGGGTATCTTCCATGGGCTGCAAGTGGATCTCTGCATCCTCCTGGGCCTCCATGGACTGCAGGGGCACAGCTGCCTCACCACGGTCTTCACCATAGGCTCCAGGGGAACGCCAGCTCCAGCACTCGGAGCACCTCCTGCTTCTGCTTCTGCACTGACCTTGGTGTCTGTACAGTTGTTCCTCTCCCATGTTCTCACCCTGCTCTTCTCTGGCCACAATTACACGTGTACAATAACTTTTTTCCCCCTTCTTAACAGATTACAGAGGTGCTACTATCATCACCTGCTTGGTTCAGCCTTGGCCAGCAGTGGGTCCATCCTGATAAATTTCACATGTCAATGAGCTCTTCATGAATGAATTTAGGTTTAGAAAATCTGAAAGTTTAATCTAAGAATTCCTCCAGGAGAAAACTTAAGGCTAAAAATTATATGATATTAACAGCTATTCTCCTTTATCATCCTCTGGAAATGCCTCTTTCTTTTCACCAACTCTAAAATTAAGCTTGATTTATTCTTCTAAGTCTTAGAAAAAGAATACCCAAGTAGCTCAAATAAGCTAAAATCCCCCAAGATATAAAAAGATTAATAATCTCAGGATAAACACAAAACATTATTACTTTTTAATTGATGCTTGCTTTTTCTAAATTATTAAAATCAGAAACACAGTGTAACTTTATTGCTACCCTCCTCCAGAATATAGATCTTACTTCACGATATTCTAAAAAAATATTTTTGCCTATTAATAAAAAACCTGTTTGCCTGATTTCAGAAAGCACAGGTTCCATATTTATAGCTGATACCTGAAGTCTGAAGAATACATTCTACCAAAGCATAAGAGTTTAGAGGCAGACCAAATTACTCAATGCTGCATAAAGCATTCTCTCAACACTTTTAAACAGAACATATTTATGTAGTAATAAAGACCATTAAGATTTTAATTTGCAATTACTGTCCAGTAACTCAAGTTACTCAACTGGAAAGTTGAGTGACTTGAGTTATTGGACAGTTACTTGTCCAGTTATTGGACAAGTAACTCAACTGGAAATAACAGGATAAACCACAGTGCCCCAAATCTCAACATCAATCAATAAGTGACCAAAGTAGAAGCTGCTCCTACCACACTGCTGTAACACTGGGCACGATGTTTCTCTGCACAGCGTACAATGAGCTCTGGAAAGAGTGTCACAGGTTCAGGTGATATGGGACTGTTATGAAAATATTTCAACCAAACCAGAACACAGGCACTATATTAACAGGCAGTTGCTACAAGTAGAAAGGTCCAGACTCTCTCTCTGTGCATGGGGGTGAAAGGAAATAAAAATGCAAAGCAATCTCTGTTACAGCAGGGGATCATGATGAAGCAACATCAGCAACCATGGCAGTACAAACTGTGCTGTAGCAGAACCCATAAGTATGCAGATAAGCTCAAAAAATGAGCAATCAATTGGATCAACACCATCACAGCAAAAGTCACATCAAGGTTAATAACATTTCTTAAATACACAGAATAAATTAAGTCTAAATTCTAACCAAAAGTGAGAGAGAGTTGACAGGGAGATAAAAACCCTGCTCAGGTAATCAGAGATATGGAGAAGTTGTCATACTCTGTATTACTACTGTAACAAGACAAAAAGATCCCCATAAAGAAGTTCATCACACTACAATTACTGTGTAGACAAAATATTTAATAAATTTACTTTGTTAGAGAAAATAGATCTTTAAATTAATTTCAATTTTAGTCTCTGATTAACAACAGGATGACTCACATTTAAAAATACCAGTCACCTACGAACTATAGATGGTCCAATATTTTGAGTGGGCACACTGTAATGAAGGTTAGTAGAATTGTCTTATATGAAGGATGCTTTTCCTATGAGCAAATACAATTTTTCAGTTACTTCAATTCCAGATCGGAATTAAACTGGAATTGTCTGAATCAGATTTCCCAGGGGATATTTTATTTTACATCTTGGAAACACTTGTTTATGAAAATAAATTTTATCACATTTAAGAAATTACTACGGCTTCGTCTTTGAGAGCAACCATTTACATCAAAAATCATTTACAAAAATCCAATCTCAAGTTGAAATAAATTGCATTTATCATGGTATCACAGAATGGCTTGGGTTGAAAGTGTAAAGATCACCAAGTTTCAAACCTGCTGCCATGAACACTTCCCACTAGACCAGGTTGCTCAGAGTCCCATCCAACCTGGCCTTGAGAACTTCCAGGGATGGGGCAGCCACAAGTTCTCAGGGCAACCTGTTCCAGTGGCTCACCAGCCTCACAGCAAAGATTAAATTTAAACTCCCTCAGCCCATACTTCCATACTCTAATCACAGAATCATAGAACACGCTGACTTGGAAGGGGGGCATCAGTATCATCAAGTCCAACTCCTGGCCCTGCAAAGGACACCCCAAGAGTCACACCACATGCCCAAGGATATCGTCCAAATGCTTCTTGGACTCTGTCGGGTGTGGTGTTGTGTCCATTTCCCTGTTCCACTGCTTAACCACCCTCTGGGTGAAAAGCTTTTCCTGATATCCAGCCTAAATATCCCCTGACTCAGCTTCATGCAGTTTCCTTGAGTCCTTTCACTGGTCATCAGAGAGGGCATCAGTGCCTGCCCCTTTGCTTCCCCACATGAGGATGTTGAGGACCACAGTGAGGTCTTCCCTCAGTCTCCTCTTCACCATCTTCTAATCATAACTCTCATATATTCTACAAAAATTTCCAGATACTAAAATATCTTCCACTTTCTCACTTTACTGGGGCATTAAATTCATAGAAAGATGTACACTGCCTATCTCTGTTGGGGGCAGAAGGAGGGGAAGACTTACCATAAATAATCGTTTTAAAAATCTGATTTATGTTCTAAACATTTCTTTCCTATGGATATTTAATGTTGCATACTCTACCGAGTGTGCAATAATCCTGCATTTTCCAAAGGCTCAAATTTAAATCTTGTTCAGTATATCTATAATCATCTCCATCCCCCACAATGATAATTTTTAATATTATTATATAAAGAGAAAAATCTTGGGACTTACTCGGAAGTAGTCACTGCAGGCTGCCAGGACTGCTTTATGTGCATGGAATTTCTGCTCTTCAGCAATAAGGGTAATGTCACAAAGTATGCCATCACTTCTTTGTTGGTTCAGAGCTGCCAGGACAGCATCATTGTGGGAACTAGACTGACAAAGCCTCTGGCCTGTCAGCATTTCCTGAACACTGAGAGGGGAAAGGGGAAAGAGTCTGTCAAAAAAAAAAAACCAAAAACATGTACAAAACAAGCACATTCTGTCAGGAATACAGAACAACTTTTTCTAAGACAAGATAGTTTGACAAGATAGTTTGATAATTCTTGGAAAGCAAAAAAGTCATGAACCCTGTCAGGCAAAAATCTTTACACAGCATAGACATCAGAAGAAAAGCTCAATATAACAAAGCATTATGAAAACTGGTTATATACTCAAATTTAAAAACCTCAATGGTTCTGATTTCTCATTTCCTGTACCAGAAGTCAGCTGAACTCACAGGACTAATTCATTTCAGGATTAAATGAGAACAATAGAGGGCTTAGGTCAATGGACCACCAGAAAACTTTAAGTAGTTCAAACTGAAGCACTACTGAAAAAAAGGGTATATGTACGTGTGCAAGAACTTCTACTCTCTAAAAAGAATGATGCTTCATGGTCTCAGGTGGCCTGTTTAAGTCTGATACTGAGCTACTGAATGTTTTCAGATCACTTCAGGCTATTCATATTTATGAAGAGCTGTAGTGTTTTTTTGATTGTCTGTTTTGTGTTTGGGGAAAGGAAGAAGATGCTTGTTCAACTTTAAAATACCAAGGCCTTCTCCACCTCTGAATATTTCCATGTATGAACTGCATATAATCCAGTCTAGGACTGTCTGATTTCAGCATCCTTTTTGTATAGCAGAAGGAAGAAACAAGATAACTGCTGATGCAGATGGAAACAAATCAAAACATATCAGAAAATCCTCTCTGGTACAAAACAATGCAATTATTTGAGCTCTGTGAGACTACCAATTTAAATTGCCAGAGAATCCACCTATGTGTTTATAGAAGGTGAGTTTACAGAGAGTAATCTCAGCACAAATCAAAGTGAAGTTTGTTTTTTTTTTAAAGGGGTGAATAACCCATCATCTTTCCAGCACAATCATGTAATTCACTGCATACATGTCTATGCAGCAGCTGTGTGGTTGCAATACTCTCCTTTCTCTGCCCATCCTACTCCTGCACCTCAGGCACCTGTAAACTACTGCAGACCTGCCTTGCAGACTGTTTGCTTTAATCTAACCTTTTAGAGAGACAACAAATAAAATATTACTTCTAGAAGAAGGCTGGTCAAAGAGAAATAACACAGGAACAGAGTGTATCTGAATTTTACTGCCTCTCTGACAGTTTAGATTTCACATATGGACATGCCCTAAATACATTTCAAAAGGACTCATTCAAATTATTATTTTTTCTTCAGCTGTTATGTTTGTGCAGCCCAACTTATATTCTAAATGACAGTTATCAAGAATTCTAACTTGCTAAACACCAGAGAATTATTTTTAACAGTTATTTCTCTTCTGTAATTTCTATAGCGAAGTGACTAAAACTAGGGCAAGTATAATACATTAGCAATACCCTGAGATGGTTTCTCTTTACTTCTGTTTTTATTAGCCTCTCTCCAAGTGCTGTAAATCAAGAACTTCATTCCTCTTGCTTTTTTCACCATCATCCAGAGGACTATTTCATTCAATATAGAATATATCCGGGATTTTAAACTGAGTTCTATCATAATCCATTTTTCAATTTAGCGACTAAAGTGAAAAATCAATTGCGTGTACCCCTTGTGCTAATAACATATGAAGAATGCATACACATGAAAGGCAATTTGACTGGAATTTATGAATTAAAATACATAGAATAATTAATCATAACATGACTGGTTATTCGTAGTGATATTTTCAACTGATAAATTCAATAGCTATAAAAGCAAGCAAGTTCTGATTCTCTTCTGCCGCAGAATCATGGCAGGGAAGGGGGAACAGAACTGGAATGATAAGGTGTCCCAAGTCATATCGCAGAGTTTTCTGAGCTCCCAGATCAGCATGTTAACTACTATGTAAAACAGAACCATCAGCATATCACACTACTGCAAAGTTCTGCAGAAAACCAATTCAGTTAACAAATTCTGTACAGTGTTCTGTCTGAAAGAAACGTGTTCTGCTCCCAGAAAGTAATTAAATTATAAGTGACAAATTCTCTATTGCAAGAATGGGTAGAACAAACAAATGAGAAAGGCTACACTGGGAAAGAGACAGAAGGGAAGGCAGAAAGATGACTTTGGAGAGAACCTTGGAAGACATTTCACATAACTGGAAAAGTAATATGTCCCAAACAGTGGAACACTACACAGACCCAAAATTATCACCAGCCACCATTTCAGACGCATAAATGTAAAATTCCAGTTGCTTCCACAATCAAAAATTCCAAGTATAAACTAAGGCATAAATAAGATAAGGTATCAAGAGACTTTGGGCCTTCAATCAATCCCAGGCACAGTATTCCCTGCTTGAGGTAAGAAGCAACAACAAGATAATATTTTGAAGATTATAATAAGGATATGTATTTAATCATGTGAATTCCTATCAATGAACAAAATCATTAGTTTTACTTTTTTCTACTTTTTTAACTAAATCTTTGGTAAACATCATCCTAAATGTTAATAACTTCCTACACACTACCAAGTACTATACCTTAGGCACCTCTCAGATGGCATCCTTCAGTCTTCTGAATATCAAAATTTATAATCCTTTAGGGAAAGCTGTGAGTGTTCCAGCTAGAAAAAGAGAATAGAGAGGAACATTAAAATTCAAAGCATACACAGCCTCAGCCTTAAAGATCAATATTTTCATGATGTGCAATTCAAAAGCAACTTTCACTGTGGCCTTTCCTCTAGACTTTTTTAGAGATTCACACCCTGATATCTGAACATCCTACTGCCCTTGAGGAATGCTTTCCACAAACTCAGGAACACATAATTTAAAAAAAAAACCAGAAGAATATTGAGGAGGGAAGCAACTGTACCAAAAATCCTTCAATGAGAAGAGCAAGCCAAAGGCACATATTAGTTAGTGATTGCTTACTTCCCAGAATAACACACAGTTTTTATGTTCAATGATCCTAAGGGTCTTTTCCAATCTAAAGGACTCTATGATGCTATAATGATTCTGGAAAATATAAGCCATATAGTACAATCATTTTTATAAACACAACAGCTCGTTTTTTTAAAAAGCAAAATACTGAAGTGACCATATAAATAAACACAGAACAGCTGAAGTGTCCAAAGAACTAAGTTATTGAAAACAGGGTTGTACAGCAGATTTTTAACTGGTGTAGCAGCCAGCACAGCTGACAAGACATTTCAACTTCATATAAGAATTATAAAAGAAAAATAGGTTTTAACTGAATAGTCAAAAAAGAAAAGTACACTACTTTGCTTATTTAAACCGTGTGTGAATTGTCTAATGTAACTCAGTTGAAGTAATACAATTCAGCAAAAAAAGAATGGAAAGATTTCTGTATTTTTCTCTTTTTTCCAAAAATACTTCAATTCTGAGCAGAGGGGTGAGATCATAGAGAACTTATGCTGACACTTCAGTGGGATACTAAGTCAATGGGCATGCAGTGCTTTCCAATGGTGGTTTCAGAACATTTCACTCTCTCCATCAATGATCACCATTCTAGTTCTATTAAGACAATTCACCTTCTCCTTCAAGAGACAGAAAAACACAGCCTATTAAGTTGGTATTATCAACTAAGGAAGCAAAAACACTTCTGATCAATGTACCTGCTCTTGCATACACCCGTAAGTCAATACTAATGTCTGCCTTTCAGAGATGCTACACCACCCAGAGACTGGTAGAGTACAAATTCAACCTTTCTCAGAACTTTAAGAGGTCCAAAGTCTCTGGCCCACACACTGAAAAACAACTCCAAACCACAAGCAGAAGTGAGAGCAAAGAAAGGAAGGATGAAGACCTGCAGGGAAAAGCATTCCTTCTACAATAATTAAGGCATATGCAACAAAGAATTAACAGAACATTCAAACATTCAGTCCCACACTGCATTTAGTGATTTTACAATAACAAACCAATTTTCCCTAAACTTCAGCACTCTTTCTTTCTCTTCCAAAGCTCCAGCACTGCATGCCTCACTTAAACGTACACCATGTACACTGGTGTGTAAATCATTAAATCAATACTGCACTGAGTTTATTTAGCCATACAGAATTAAGTCAGCTCAATGTTTTTAATAACAGGCAATTTGAAAGCATTATTTAGCCTTAATGAAGAAAAAAAGTTAAGGAGGCACTTCCACCTGTTGTCCATGAATGCTGTGCCAGAACAGTTCTAAAATCATTTGCACCAAGAGTTTATTTCTATTTTATACAGCTGGATGCATCTCCATTATATAAACTGTGATTGGTACCTAAGGAAACTCTTTGCATTAGAATGTTTAAGACATACTATTGTCTTTCTATTTAACTACTTTAAGTAATCAAATCAGTTTAAAAGATTAGTTTATAAACTTAAGGATAAGACATTTGGTTTAAATGGAAAACTTTAAATCCACCTAAATCCTTCTGTTATAGTGAAATACTCCTTAATGCTGGAAATTAACAGGAAAAATATAGGCCAGACAGAAAATCCTCATTACATCCTAGGTCTGAGATACACGCTAAAATTGCCAAAACCCTTTTTTAAAAATAACATATTATTTCACTCTTTGTGATTTTGTGATGAACAATAATTCCCAATACTATAGTATTTTACAACTAAAATATATTTTCTTATTGCTCCATTAGTTTTTTCACATCTTAGAAAAGTGCTAAAATTAAAAATTTGCAAATAAATAAAACTAGTAATGATCCAGCTAGCACTGGAAGAACATAGTATTTTGGTAGAGAATGGTGCACCATTCCTAAATGGAAAAAAAAGCCCTCAACAGGGTTTCCTTATATAAACACAGTGTATCTAGGGATTCCAAAGGTAAGCAATTCAAAAGAAATCTCACATAATGCAAACGATTATGACAAACTAATACACCAAAACAATGTTTGCTCTGTTTGCCTGATGAAATGTCAGTCTTTCTATACATATTTTTGTCGCAGTCTTATGACACAGCAAAATAAACAGTAGGTTTTTTGCACTCTCAGGAAATCTTGGAATGCAGAGTCACTCTGCTGCATCCATTGCACACTGTTAGGCTATGCCGCTTCTTTAATCTAAATCACCAGTAGAGTTCAGGAATTATTTGTTCAAAAATTAATTTAAAAAAAAAGCATTTAAGCAGGCAGTATTTCTTCCTTTATTTTAATTGGATATAACACTGGTTTGGAAATATTAAACAAAGTAGTCTACTATCCAAAAATATTGGCAGAATGCATGTGCCCTTTTCCATAAAAAGTCTCATTCATTTAAATTGATCTTGAGAAGCCAATACCATGTTCCTACTTTACACAGAATGCATAAAGCATTGTAAGAATTTCAGTTACATCTTTTCTCATCCTTTTGGTGGGTTTATTTGGGGAGGGGGGAGGTATATGTGTTTCTCGTGAAACATAGAAAAAAAAACAAAAAAAAAAAACATATCTCAGAAAAACTCGAAAAAATAAGACACACGAAAATAGAGAAGAGAAAAAGGGGAGAGGGGTAGAAAAGAAAAAAAAAATTCATATTCAATCTACTTTCTGAAAATAACTTATATGTCCCAAAATTCACAATTTCCTCCCCCTTAACGTAACAAGCTTTTTTTTAGTTCACACACCTGATTTTACAGAGTTGCCCAAAGCATAGTCCAGATCATCACAAAACTTATTCTGTTGCATAAACAGGCTCTGTATTTTATACCGGGTACCTAAGAAACATTTTTTCCACCCTAATTATGCTTATTTTGTCTTGCAAACTTGTAAAAAATGTATATCCATAATGGAAATGAAAATCTATTAATAATGCCTGAAAACATGCAGGTTTTCTACATAATTCAAATTCATATAAAAAAAATTACTACCTTGGTAGTTTCATCATTGATTTTCCCATTTGTTTTAAGTAAGTAAAAACTGAATTACAATCAACTTCAGTGTGAACTCACAGAACATGATATAAGCATTATTTCTGTTAGGTCAAAAATGAAATTATTTAAAAATCCTGATTTAAAATGTGTACAAAAATGAAATAGCATTGGTTAAAAAGCTTGTACTACTTTTCTTTACTAAGGTAATTACTTCTTAGGCAGGAGTTATGAAACTATCCCACTCCCAATCCCTTGTGTCCCAGCCTAGGTTTAGGGGAAAGCAAGAGTTCTATTACCTATGAAGGAGTCAGAAAAACCCCTCTTGACTGCCTCCATGGTTCTAGGTAACATATTGTGCTGTGGTGGAAGAGGTGAGACTCTGCCCTCCTCACATCTTTGGCAAGACTGACTAATAAAAAAGTGAGACAAATCAAAGTGAAAGACAGGCAACTACCACGTCACACAGATCAGCTTAATACAAGATTCAAGAAATGCTAAAATATGCTTTTGTAGACAGAAGAAATGTTTTCTTGCAAACAAGGCCAGGATCAGAACCCCTTTAAAAGACAGGGTGGAAAATTACAGAGCATTTTGATGTCTTTTATCCCATAAAGAGAATAGTTTATCCATGAAAAGCTGCAACACAAAATTTGAGCTAAATATCTTTCAAACTGTTCACTGAGATGCAGGCAGCCAAAACATAAATCTTCACTGCAGTCAGATGCAGTTTCTGCTCTTGTGATGATCCACATTTGGAGGGAGGTAGAAGAGCCAAGAACCCTTGGGGATGTCTTCAAGGAGCCACTGCTGTGCTCCTCACAATGGCCCCTGCTGCCTCAGAGTGACAGGAGACTGACCTGCCTCTCTGGGGAGATCTGTTACACATCTCAGTGCAGGATGCAGTGAGACTTTGGGAGCTGTGCAGTCCTTTACACTGGCACCACTTAAGGCACCTTTCACCTAGTTGATCACAAATAAACTTGCTGATCTTCTGTTTACCACTAAACTTCACAGAATGGTACTGCATTAGTTAAGTACTGCTCTGCCTTTGAAGTTCTCCAATGTATGAAAAGCCCTCTAATTTCTTCTTTAAATTTTTACTTTGAACTGGGAAAGCTACTCATTTATCAATTACCACATTACTTAAAACAATGCTGCTTATCAAGAATATATTTCAAGTAATTAATTTTAGCTCACTCAAACCATGTAGCCAAACTCTGAGTATTTAAGCACAGATTTTAATCTCATTTCACACAGGTAGCTTTTAGCTACATTCTGAGAGTTCATTTCACTTGTCAGTAACCATAAAAAGTCGTTGATTCATAAAAGATCACAATAAATGTGGGTTTTTTTTTCATTTCTCTGAGTATATATAATGTATCTTTTCAGATAGCAATATTTCATTTTGATATATTTACTAACATTCTTAATTATGACTGTTGTTATGTTGGAAAACAATAACTCAAAATTACATTATATCTGCTGTGTGCCAAACTATTTTACATAGAAATTTATTAAAATTCATATGCCCAAGAACTGGTTAAAAAAACTAAAAATACTGAATATATAAATCATTTAAAGATACTTTGCATTTTCAAGCAGTTATCTTTAATTAGTTATCTGCTTTCCCTCAAGTCACTCCTTTTCCAAGTGCGTATTTTAAGTATTGAAAAACACTTCCATTTAAACCCACACCACTTCAAGCTAGATGCATGGACAAAGTGAAGGGATGATGAGCTATTTCCTGCAAAAAACTAAAATTTTGAACAAATTGGATAAGTCATGAAGATAAAGCATTTGTATGCAATGAAATGGTATTTTCACTTTGACAGCTCCAAATATCTGGTTTAAATTTGGCCTTTTTTTAAAAAAAAGAAAATACAACATGGAAAAGCTAACAGAAGTACACTATATTAATTTCATTCCAGAATGGCATCATAGCACATCCTGAGAGAGGCTGCTATGGAATACAGAACTAGACCATTAAGACTTACCCATGGCATTTTCTATTCTAGCTTGGCTCCTTATTCACAAAAGCTTCTGCTTCTGCCTGTGGTTTTAGTAAGTCAAAATAAATCATCCTTTCAGGCTATAGTTCACCTTCTCTCAAAGTAAGAGTCTCTTCAGAAACAAAACTATGGGGTTTTAATTCACAGAAAATAAAATACATTATCTTCTACTTTTTTAAATCACATTTCTGCCAAATTTGTCAAAAGGAAAACACTTTGGAAACAGATTTAAGGTTTGACTGCAAACCTGCTCTTCTGAGTATATTAACAGACTTTTCTCACATGCCTGGGAGACAAAATTTTTTCCTCTTTTCATTGAGATTTTTGAGAATTGACCTATTTTTCTCATTTCATTAAAACTGTTCAAGAATGTCAAGTGTAATCAAAACTCTGCCACTACCCAATGTTGTCAGTGAAATCATCACTCAGCTCAAACACAAGTTGGTCAACTAATTTAGTGCCTCAATACAGTGAATTTGAAAAAAAAAAGCTTTAATAGTACCCCTTAGATTTAATATAAATTACAAAATTAAGGAAATAAAAAAATTGAAAACTGGGACTTGTTTGGGAAAACAAAAGTCAGTCAAAACACCTCAAGAAAAAATTCAGCAAAATAAATATAAAATAAAACCACAAAAAAATCAAACTGTTACAGTCTTCTGATTAATTACAAACTACTTTCTTGTGAGACTGGTAAGGTCATTGCCATCTTCAGGCCATCAGCTATAGTCAATTAGAATAATGAGGTTTATTTTCTATTTCTACCAAATTATCACCTGACTTCACAGAATAATTAAGATCTTAAACCACAAAAATATAAAATGAAATAACAGGGCTATAGGCTGTATGAGTAGAACATCTTTATGCCTTTATATCTTCTTTGTAGCATTATATATCTATATCTATAGATAGATAGATAGATAGATAGATAGATCTCAATATATCAGCTTTCAGAAGATTTTCTTCTGAATATACATTCAGATAAATAAAAAGCCAGGCTCGTGGTCATCTGTGTAACTTAAGGCATATATTACCTAAACTACCACCTGAGAAAGAGGTTGTTGCATTCCAGTGATAAAACCATAGATAATCATGTAACCCAACTGAAAACTACAGAGATGAAGGCTGATGATTTTGAAGACAAGATTTCCTTCCAGGATGTGTGCACAAAGTTTCACTTATTTCATTCAAAAAAAGATAACAGTTTTATACAACTGTAGTAACACACCTTAATGCACTATCATCTTAGCTTTTCAGAGCACTCATTATTGCTGTCATTTAAGCTATGATACTAATTACTCACCTGCTCAAAGGAGTAGGACATAACTTCCAGCAGATTCATTAAGCATGGCTGGGAGAACAATATTACGACTTGATCCTGATCTCATTGAAGAAATCTCAGCTCATGGCAGAAGACTGGACAAGATGACCTTCAAGGATCTCTTCCAACCCAAACTATTCTATTTTTCTATGAACTTATTTTCTCATCTTTCTGAAAGATAGGCAACAAATATGCAAAACAATCTCAAAATGAAGTATCTAATCCATACACTGAGCTCACCATTGTTCTAAGGGACAAGTCAAAAGGTTTCTGGTCAGTTTTAAGGCATTCTGCTGCTGGCATAAATGAAAATCTCTGCTACTTTGCAAAACTATGCTTTCAAGATTTTTCCTCTAGATGTCATAAAAAGGAAATAAAAGACAGGGTGACTTCAGTAGTTTGTAACTGCATGTTATTTTGGAATTTGATTTGCATTTTCATTGGATTAAAAAAAACAAAGAACCCTGTTCTTCAAGTCTAAACTTATTTTTTTAGAAAATCTGTCAAGTTTGTCGCAAAATCGTAGAAAGATTTAGGTTGGAAGAGACCTTAAAGATCATCTAGGTCCCAGCCACCTGCCAGGGACAAGGACACCACTCTCTAGACCAGTTTGCTCAGGGCCCCATCCAACCTGGCCTTGAACACTTCCAGGCATGGGCAATCAGAAATTCTCTGGGTAAGCACTCTGTTCCAGTGCTTCACCACCCTCTGAGTAAAGAATTTCTTCCTAACATCTAATCTAAATCTGCTCTCTTGCAGTTTTAAACATTTTGCCCCATGAACCTTGTCCTGTCACTACATGCTCCTGTAAGAAGCCCCTCTCTCACCTTCGTACAAGCCCCGTTTAGGTATTGGAAGGCTGCTGAAAGGTCACCCAGAGCTTGTCTTCTTTACTGCTGAACAGCTCCAGCTCACAGCTGTCTTCACTGGAAAGGTGCTCCATCCTTCTGATCATATTTGTGGCCCTCCTCTGGATCTGCTCTAATAGGTCCACAAATGTGGAAGGCTTCTCTAAATCAAGTCAGAATTTTTTATAATGGAATGCAACAGAAATTTAACTAGAAAGATCATCATTATTTCTCCTGATAACTTTAGAAACAAACATGGAAAGGGACATACAATAGCAAGGTGTGATCAGAAATGGTGTCTACTTCACCAGGGCCTCATTCACATATGTCTTAGATTTTTAACTTTCACAACCATCGAGATGCTTTTATTGAACACAACAATTATTATTTTCTAGAGATTAAGAGTACATAAACATGTTTTTGAAACTACTTCAAATCTGCATATAGACTACACCAGATAGGAATATACTGTACTGCAATCTACAATCTTGACAATTGGGCCACATGAACTTTTCATATCTAAGAACAAAACATTAAAAAACACATAAAATATTACGAAAAGTGTGATTTCTTATTAGTGTATAGTCTTGTATAACTGAGGTGATCAGTTATGTGTCTATATGGCATTTCCAGTGAACAACTATTTATATATTTCAATAAAATCACACAGAGTTTATACAGCTCTATGGGACCTGCAATTGCATTAATGAAGTTAAAAATAAAAGGCTGTGACTACCAGCAGTTAAGTAAACATGTACTTTCTAAGAATGGCCTTCAGTAGCCACAGGGTGGCAGAACTATACTTCAATATAACTTGTACTTTCCGGACAATGACAGTATTTCAAAGAAAGGGTTTTCCACCCCTTACAGCATAATTACAGTAATGTAAAATACTTGTTCTGTGTCCAGTGGGTGCTTTCAAAGCCAGGAATCAGAGGGGAAAAATGTCTGTACATAAAAGTACAACTAAACAGCAGTTCTATAAACATCAAAACAATGCAACAGGTTACTGACCTCCATATTTCTATTTTGAAAAAAAATTCAAGTCATGGAGTATCTGATCACTAAAATCCCTATCAATTTTACCCTGTACAGAATCAAAGAATCACAGAATGGATTGGGTTAGAAGAGCCCTTAAAGATCATCTAGTTCCAACCCCACCTCCCATGGGCAGGATCCACTAGACCAAAGTCCCATTCAACCTGACCTTGAACACTTTCAGGAATGGAGCATCCACAGTTTCTCTGGGCAACCTGTTCCAGTACCCCCTGGCCCTTCGAATAAAGAATTGCTCCCTGGCATCTAACCTAAACCCTGTAAAACCATCCCCCTTTTCCTATCATTACCTGGCTCTGTAAGTCAGTCTCCCTCCTGTTTTATAAGGCCCCTTACTCTAAGGCCACTGAGACGCCATGCTCCAAGTTGTTCTCCAGGTTGAACAATCCCAACTGTTTCAGCCTGTCTCTGCAGGAAAGGTGCTCCAGCCCTCTGACCATGTTTATGACCTGGACTCTTTCTAACAACTCACCATTCCTTGCATTGAGGACCCCAGAACTAGACACATAATTGACTTATGGACTCTTCCTCCACTCTTCAATCTAAGAGAAAAAATATTTGCAAACACCTTTCTGTTAAGAAAAATGGGTATCAAAAGATTTCTGACAGCTTTAAGCAAATTGGGCTTAAATTGTGATAATGAAACACACTTTGATGAGGCCAAGAGGGAAAGAAGTAGGAAGAGGAAACAAAAACAGCATGAAGGAAGCTGGTGATGAAGACCTGCTACAGTTATTTTTGGGTTTCCTCTTTTGCAAAGGGGATGGGGAAACAGTGGAATAGTACACAATACCAAAATCAGATTGATATCTGAGAAAATATAATAGGAAGCATGTCTTTTTCTACAGTGCAATCATAGGAAGAGAAGCAAAAGGTCATCAGGGAATAATTCTAATTGCTGGACAAGAAGACTGAATGCTCAGGAGAGCAGACTGTGAAAGTACACAGAAGAAAGACAGAGACAAGGGCAGGGAAGATCCTGGGCTAAAATGTGTGTGTGACAAAACCATCAGATTGAGAAGAAAGCAAATAAAAGAATCAATGTCTTTTAAAGCCCATTCCATCTAGGTTTTAGACTAGAAATCAAGATCTCGAAGTCTTGCACCTTTTTGTGTGGAGAAACAGCTGCAGAACATTTGCTTTCCCTTTCTGATAACTGTGATGGGTTATAGTCAATAATTTCAGACAGTTTACTTATCTTAGTGCTAATGGTTCCCATCATGCTGCTCTTCCATTCAGTTGGTACAGCTCTTCAAGATTTTTTTAGTTTTCCTTTAAGAAAGTATCAAAGGGTTACATGCTCATGAAACTAAGAATACTGGAAAAGGCAAAAAGCTATGTGCTCCAATATCAAAACTGAAGTTCCCTACAATCAGCTGACTATAACAAAAGGCACAGGTATTCCTAATTCCATCACTTCTTAAAATATGAATGTCTGAACTCCCTTAGGGCCCCTTTTCTACACTTAAATTGTATCAAAACTTCTAAAAGCCTGGCTAATGCCAAGCCAGCATAAACTCTTGTATTACAAGGATGCCTACATTACTGTTTAGCTTTAAGGTGCTTCAAGTATAAAAGGAATTTTTACACATAGCTTTTCATAATTGACTTAGAAGTTTAAGTAGGAGTGACAGGACCTGAAGTTAGAGTTCAGAAGTAAATCCATCTAATTTAGACCTTTTCCTTACAACAAATTCAGATCGATTGAAACACTTCTTTACTGAAAAGATATATTTGATTTAAGCATTAAAGAAATCTAGATTGAAAGAGAAAATCAAAACTAATTAGATGACCAGAATAAATATGACTTACAGAAAAATTCCGTTTGTGGGTGAGAAACAGCGGGAGAAAGTGGAAAGGGTTGACTATCTCTAAGTTCTATTACACACACTGCAATCACAAAAGCCATAAGCAGTGAAGCCTGCACAGTCATCTCTGCTTCTAGCTCTTTTCCCTGTTTTACATTGCCTTCTACAGATTAAAAAAGAAACAAAAAACTTGTATCTTCAGAAAGATAGAATTTCCATTATGTACATATTTTGTTACCGTAAGACCACAATTTCTTATATTCACCACCAGCAACATGTTTACACAGTCAGTGCTACCTCTATAACCTCAATGAGCTTAGCTAGACAACTATCCCTGGTCTGGGATAGGCAAAGTGGCACTGAAGATGTCAGATGGATTTTTTGCATTCATAGACAAAAATCTGCAGGAGTTTTGCTATACACAGAGGACTGTACAAACCTTACCTGGACAAAGGAGAAAGCTCTTATAATAACATTAGAAAGAAAAATGCTCTCCACTAAAGAGGGATATCAATGGGCAGATTTATTTAGGGAACTGTGGCCTTCTCCCTGCTCCCTGTGAGTACAGTCTGCTGGAGTGTGAGCTTTTGGAGCATTAGGACAGCTGGGAATGGTACAGTTCTAACCAGAAGAAGCTGTGGTTCATGTATCTGCTGGGAACGCAAGGGAAAACATCAGGACACCTGACCTCTTACATTGGTAAACAGCTGAATGTCCTGCCCAAGCTGGTAATAAATTTAGTGTATTCTTTTTCTCCAAGGATTTAGCCAGAATCTAGATTTCATGCTAGTATTTTACTGAAATAGATCTTTTTTTTTTCTCTCATCCTTTACTCAATACATTTCATTTCTAACACAGACTTTATTCAATATTCCAGACCAGCTACATAGAAAATGTTCTGATATCAACCACTAATATTAAAACCCAGTGTTAATACAAAAAATAAAAATTCCCTCAGAGCAGAAGGGACATACCAAGTAAGAAGGGGAGGTGACAGGAAATACAATCTAAAAAAACTCACAGTGAAGATGCATATATTTGTAGTATGAGTCATAACTTTGACAATGTCTTTAAAAACTCAGTTTAAGGAAATACTTTTTACTAACGTAAAATATCACTCTAATTAAGCTCTATCAAATAGGTTAATAGAGAAACATATAAGTTCTTGTTTGGAAACATCAGATTTGAATGTGCTCTATTCTCTGCTTTTCAGAGACAATCCAAGAATTCATAATTTAAATCCTTTGGGTACACACAGATTTAAAGACAGACTTGGATCTATTTTCATGCAAATGTTACATCAATACTTCTTAGATTATTTAAACAAACAAACAAAAAACCAAAACAAACCCACAAAGCAATAAAAAAAACCTCAAGCAAACAAACCAGAAGCTACATTTCAAAAGAGAAGTAAAATATTTTTTTTTTTAAACAAGCTGTTTAAATTCCCAAGGGCACCTATGAAAGACTGCATAAAGCTAAAGTTAGGTGCTTACTTGCAGAAGTGAAGAATTTAATACTTGTATACTTTTGATTTTTTCTATCACTTAAAGTGACATCTTGTTCTTCCCTTTATATACATGCAATCAACTTGCAGCTTGAGTTGTCATTCTGAAGCATCTGTCACTACCAGGACATTAAACTGATACGTTCAGAAAGTCTCTAAGGTTTGTGAATACTTCTAGAAAAACATCAGGCAATTTGTGCAGACAGACCTACATGCCTAACTGAAGTTTGCAAATTGAATGCCAGTCACTAGAATCCCACCATATTTGAGGAAGCTAAACAGTGTCAAGCAGGAGGAAAAAAATAAAAAAGGCATTTGTTTCTTTGTTTCTAAAATAACATTTATTTTTTAATTTTAAGGGCAATAATTACCTTGTTAAAAACCACTAAGTGCTACAAATAGCTACTTATAATTCAAGTTACAACACTGTTTCTTCTATAAATTATGGACAGAAATTAACAGACTTTGAATTCCTGTTGAACACTAGGAAGTGCTATTTACTGGGAGGAATTGTTAAACATCAGAACAGCTTGCCCAAAGATCTTGCGGAGTCTTCATTCATAGAGATATTCACAACACCTCAGGACACCATCCTGGACAATCTGATCTAGCTGATCCTGCTTAAATAGGGGGCTTTGACTAAATTATGTCAAGAGGTCCTTTCCAACCTCGACAATTCTGTGCTTTGTGTGATTCTCTGTGGTACAGCTGAGAAGACTACAAATGCACTGCATTGCATGCAAGAGCATATTAGTCCCATATGACCTATTCATTCTACATTCCAATCTTCTTGAAGACATTTTAGCTCATAAAAGGAAACAGAAGGGGCAAAAGGGGGAAACTGTATCAAAACCATAGCAAATACACATGCCTCCAGATCTGTGTTATGTGTCTAAGTAGGGCACATTTATGAGTTTCAGTCTTTTCCATTTATTGGAACTGCCTAGAAATACTTTAAACTTCTGTCTAGAAATAATACCAATTCAACCCAAATGTATGTAGCATTAAATACTTCTTTTGTCATAAGGAAGTAGGTGGTTTTTTTGGGGTTTTTTTTAGGACAGGAAAAATTGGTAGTAATAGATGTGCAATTACTGTTCATATGAAGTGTGATGATTATTTCACTTGATAACCAAAAATAATATTTTTGAGCAATATAAGCATGCACTTTATAAAAAAAA